CCTTGGTGTCTGCAGGGCTGTTTTCTCTTGCATCCTCTCACTTCTCTTCTCTCTCTGGCTACTGAGACGCAGATGGGGTTTTTTTCCTTCTTAAATATGTTATCACAGAGGCGCTTCCACCGTCGCTGATTGGCTTGGCCTTGGCCAGCAGCGGACACAGGGAAAACTTCTAGCAGCTTCTCACAGAAGCCACCTCTGTAGCCCCCCCACTACCAAGACCTTGCCACACAAACCCAATACATAGGGAAATAAGATTGTGAGCTTTTGAGTAGACCTGCAACACAGGTAATACGATGCAAGTATCCTGGCATCTGCTGTTGTATTCAGTGGTGGTCACCTGCAGACCACCCCACATGTGACCACAGCAAATGTTTTGTGCTTTCTTTCTGTCTGGTGTACCTCTCTATGAACAAGTCAGGTTTCTTGTGGAGGGAGAGAACTGCAGCTTAGTCAACATGAGGAATTCTGTTTGACATGTGGATACCTGCACTAAAGCATGTTTCTTTGGGCCCTGTGGGTGGAGGCTCCTACCCTAGAAGTTCTCCGGAACTGTTACAATGTACAATACTAACTTGTAGGAGGAAAAAAATCAACTAATTAATTAAATAAAAAACGTCATGCAGTTCCTGGTTTTACTGATCTTTATGTAGTAACAAATACAAACAAATCTGAGCACTTGCTGCATGGCTGGTTGTTACCAGACAGCACGTGTAACTAATCACTAGTTGTCCTAGATACTATGGGTGTGCTTTGATGTTTCCCCACTATTTGCACATTGGTATTTAAGATGATACCCTAACCATATCTACTGATTGGAAGGTTTGTTTTGTGACCTCACCGCTGCCTTGCATCAGAGCCATGTTTACTGTAAGTAAAGTTCCTCTGTTAAGGACATTTATGGTGGAATAATTTTAAAGATGTGTGCCTGGCATTATGAATCCTACCGAAAAATACATACAGCCAAAAATCATCAAGGTGCACTACAAAGCAAATTTTGTTTTGTTTTATAACAACTTCTTTGTGTTTTTCTCCTCAGGTGTGAAAACCTGCGTGTGTACAAACTGGGTCTCTTTTCAGGTCTTTGGTGGATGCTAGCACTTTTCTGCTGGATCAGTGACAAAGTGTTTTGTGAGATTTGGTCCTCATTTAACTTCCCCTATTTGCACTGTGTATGGTAAGTATTGTGTATAAACTCCACAGTTTGATTCAAATGTGATACGTCCTCACCACATTACCCTTCTGTGCTGCCTGGTGGCTATTTCTGGTTAGTGCTAGACAGAATTACTAGTAAGATTATAAGCCCAGAGCAAGCCTCATGCTATGCAGGGTGGCAGATTTAGGAGTCTCTTTGGCCTGATCAGATTCTTCAGATACTAAGTTCATTAACTGTAGCTGAGTTCCTTGCCCTGCTGGTTACTAAAAATCCCACAGCACTACTCAATTGTAGCAGTGACTGTGAAAGCTTAAACTTCCACTGTTAACAAGTGAGGGTGAAGTGGAGGAGCAGTGAAGGGCTTTGATGCCCTTTCTTTTTACCACCCGGCAAATTGCACTTTCTTATTTGAGGTGCCATATCTCATAATTTCTACATGTATCTGTCAGGTGCAGAGAGACCAAAAAGCTGCAGCCAGTTTAGACTAAGAATAAGCTACAATTTTATAGTTTTCCTTATACTCTGTATTCTTTGCCTGTATGCAATGGGCAGATGACAACCCTATAGGGGACTCAGGGGAAGAAGGTGAAGGACAGACTGATTTTAAAGCATGGTGATATATTTGATTGCTTTATTGAAGTCATGTTACTGATTTTTTCTTTTTTTGGGGGGTGGGACGGGTGTCTATTCTCAGGCACATTTTGATTTGCCTTGCGGCATACCTGGGCTGTGTCTGCTTTGCTTACTTCGATGCTGCCTCTGAGATCCCTGAGCAGGGCCCTGTCATAAAGTTCTGGCCCAGTGAGAGATGGGCGTTCATTGGGGTTCCCTACGTCACCCTCCTCTGCGCGCACAAGAAATCACCTGTGAAGATCACGTGAAATTTGCCATGAAATGGGGATGGAATTTCAACTTATGTTCCGGCACAGACAGTATTTAAATAATGATAAATGAATAGGGTTGTACTTTTAGCTTCTTCGTAAGATATGCAGCACTTCAGGTGTCATAAAAGAGGAGGCAAGTGTGTTCTTTTCTCCCTCTGGAGAGGAGAGAGGAAGCAGGAAGGTGAGGCTCTTGAACACTAAAGTAACCACTAGCTTCTCTAGTTGGCTCTGTTTTGCACTGTTTTTTCAATGTAGCATTTCCCTTGATAAAATCTCTTTCCAAATACCAGGGTCTAGAAATGATATTTCTGCAGTAGGTTGCCTCTGGTGCTTGATTCACTTCTTTTGTAACTTCTGGTTTAAGGCCTTCTTTGCAAAAGAAGCCAGGCCAAGATCCTACATGCCGTCCTGTGTCCTTCTCAGCTCTGATTTTGATAGGGTTGCACATGGCCACAAGAGTGTGCTCGAAGCACGTGCTCCTGCCAGCCTGGCGTGTAACACAAGGAGTCTGGGTGTGCATCACATTGGATCATGGATTATGTGGTCGCTTCCCCAAGTACAGCAAGGAGACCAGTGCAAAGTGTTTGCAACTGAGTAACTGGATCAGTGCAGTTAGGCAGTGTAAATGCGTGAATAGCTGACAGAAGGTTCAGTCCCTAAAACTAACTAGGAGTTCAAGGGTTTTGAATTTTTCTGTGTTTCCACTGACCTGTGGACGTTTGTATGCTGCATATTTCCCTTTTACAGAGATGTCACAGAAATCCCTCTCTACCTCTGCAGACATCTTTGGTCTTGAATTTGGTGTTGAAGCTCACACAGAAGTGTGAACGTTAACTTCAGTAAGAGCTCAGGTGGTTTGACAGTGTGATTAAATCGTAGAAACTTGTAGGTGCCTAGCTGTATGTCTAATTTGAGAGTTAAATTCTCACCAAAGCATTGCAAAGTGACATGAACAATAGCCTAGTGCTCTGCTATACTTCGGAAAAAAGCAGATAACCACTTAAGAACCAAGCTGAAGACTTAGATTTCAGTGAGCAATGAAATGTGACATTGAGTCTTGCATTCTTACAAACAAATAGTAGATGCAAGTTTTCTGCTTGTTTTCAAGTCTGTTCCGTAGAGATAAGGGATGTCTAGAGCCATTTAGTTTCAAAGTTATAGTTTGGGGTTGAGGTTCAGGAATGGCTATGGTTCTTGCAAGCAATTTGTGCTAGGTCTGTTTAAAAAATTACGCAAAGTGCGGACATGTTTTTCAAATATTAACAGTTGTAGCTGCTAACAGCTGCATTCTTGGAGAAAATAGGGTCTGCTTATGTTCCACCTAATATCAGAACTGTAGATGGGTTAAGGCTTTGGATGTACACTTTTATTAATAAGTGATATTTCCTTTTTTGAATATTAGACCAGGAAATACCATTTCCTCTGTGCTTTGCTTAAAAAGTCTTATGTTGTACTTGTTTTTTATCAACGTGAAAATGCACTCTATACAGTATCATCTTTAGGAAAGTGGCTTTTAACAAGAACTTTGGGGTGAATTAACTTCCAAGCATTGTAAAAACTTTTCAGATAACTTTTGTACTCAAATTTATGCTTAGAAAACAAGAGCTAAGATGTATGCTGTTACACTTAAAGCGAAGTTGTTAGTGGAAGATATGACTGTCATCTTGAGAACTTCAAAGCGGGTGAGTAGCCTACTGTCAGATTGACTGACAGATCAGAAAAGAAGTAAAATCTGTCCGGTGGAACAATGCAGATTTATACCACTTGATAGAAGATTTGTCCAAGAGAAATGTGGTTTATGGACACACAATCATATAATTTTTGTATGAAACTTGTTTGTAAAAATTCATACAGTAATGTTTGTTACTCTTTGAAGCATAGCTGCTTTTTCCTTTTCTTCCTCTCTCCCTAATTATGAAATGCTCAGTTTCAAACGCTTCTCAGGTATTAAAAGTCATATGATTAGATCCTTATACAGATAGGCTTGCTGGCTGGTACCCAGCTAAGGTTGCTGATGCCTGGCATGGCCCCTTTGAGTAAGATTTTTCAATATTGTTTGCTAAATTATTATGTTACAGTAAATAAGTTATTTTCAGTATTGGTTGGGAAATTATTAACTGCAGACGTAATATCCTATTCAAAATGACTGGAGCCTTCCTACTTAATATTTTGTTTGAAAACAACCTCTGACTCAAAGGGCTCTAAGCAACCTGCTGTCAACTGCTGTTGTCTGTTCTGCAGAGTCTGACTGCTCATAAAGAAGTAATTTTACAATTTAAAAAATGGTGGTAGTGCATTCAGCTATTGCAGAGGTGAATGCATGCAGGCCAAGAATAATCTCCTTTTTTTAATTAACCAATCTCCAGCCTTTATACTCTTTATAGGAGATTCTGTGAACAAAGATCACTAGCTGATATTCAAAGCTCCACTGTAGAACTGGTTGGGAGTATTCCACTGTAACAGCAGCCCACCCCTTCTAGATATAGCTACTGCACTTTACATTAAATTAATATTAACTTATATGTTCTGACAAAAGCGACATTTATTTCAAGAAAGAAGAAACATGCAGTTTTTACCAGATTGACAGCTTTACAGATTGCACTTTGGACTAAGGCTCCAGTTCACGATAGCATAAGTACCCAAAGAAGTATGTGATTGGCATACAGAGGGGTTTGTGCACTGCCTGATCATACAGATGAATAGACACATGCGCACAAGTAGCTGTATTATATTGGAGTTTAAAGTGATGTATATGCATCCTCAGGTTTTAAAGCCCCAGAATGCTTTCTTCCATTGCTGGCAGGAATTGACTGGATTCCTAGTCCTTAGGTTCAATTAGTATTTTAGTTTAATTAGTGGGATGCAATACTGTGTTGAGCATAATGTAGATTCTATATATTGGCGTGTGATATCAATCATCCCTTGAATGTTAAACTTCAGGTTATTTAAGAAGGGATATTTAGCTCTCAGTGACGGCAAAGACTTGCCCAATTCACAGTTACTAAAAATGAATAGTATGTAAGGAGTGGTGTTGGGGTTTGGGTTTTTTTCCATCTCTTCTGAAGTCTGTATACTGAATGTTTGTGGAAAGCGTGTAATACTGTGCAACATTAAAATCCATTCAGAATAAATATTGTTTGCCTTTTCATACATCGTGTTTGTAGAGAAGAATGCAGCTGCCTGTGTAATGCCTTGACAGCATAGTAAGGATAACTTCTCCCTCACACAGGTAACAGCAGTTCTCTTAGAGGGGGAGGGAGATAGATAGAAGACCATTAATTAATAGAGATTACTTTGCTGAGCAAACTGAAGTTTTGCAAGTAGAGCAGATACTTGGAAAACTACAAGCCTGTGAATCAACAGGGACAAGTAGCAAGAAATGGCTAAAAATTAGTGGCGTGCATTTCCACAAATCCAGAAAATTGGGTCAGAGTGAGTACGCCTGGGAGAACAAAGTGTGAGTCTTCAGTATTGGTTACCCAAGACTGTGCTCCCAACTTAGGGAGGGAGCTAATGGCTGTGTAGTAGCCTTGCACCCACCCCTCCCCTCCTGCTTCCCTTTTGCCACAGTTCATCTCACTCCACATAAAAGACCTTTGAGACATTTGCAAATCCCCATAAACCAGTGTGATCGGGCTTGAAATAACTTTTGAAAGCGTTGCTATCACTGAGGAATGTTACTCGCTCAGAGTTAAGGTCTGTAGTTGGCAAGATGTCAAAAACAGCTGGTGGATTGGCTCATATATCATCCTGTCACTCAGTCTGCTCTATCTGGAGATTATTGACAAGGTTTCCCAAACGAGGAGAACATCATCGTACCACTGCATTTCTCTGATAACTTCAGAGCTCCTGGCTTATTTTGACCAGATCTGTCAGAGGCAAGAGCCTTAGAGATAATTTCCTACAAGCTGTGCAAGACAGATGGTCAGGTAGAGAAGCCAGGCCTGAGACAAGCTGTCTCAAGAACCATGTTGTTAAAATATCAGAGAACTTCCTCCGGGAGGAAACCAAAGCAATGCTCAAGTTCTGGGTGGGCTTTGATTCTGGCTCGTACCAGCTGCAGCTTCAGGAGATAGTTATGCATGGAAGGAGTTTCACAGGCTTCTGTTCCAGACATGGAGGATGCACACAAATGTGCCTTTTTCTCCAAACTTAAGAGGCAGAATCTTCCATAAGAGGGGCAGTTTGAAACCTCGTTATCACCATACACCTGGCTGTCAGTTGAACACAGTGCAACCTGAGAAAGACTGAAGTCTGAAGGAGGTAACTTCTGTGCCCACACACTCAGGAACAGTAAAAAACTGTAAACTCCCAGCATATAATGAAGAGGTGAGTAGGGGATTTTGTCAAGAGCAAGTTGTGTCTACCTAATTTAATTTTCTTCTGCAATAGGGTACTTGCTGTCCCTGTGGCTGTGGAAGAAACAGTGTACTGTTAGATTTTGACACTGATAAGATTTCTAGCACTGTCTGATGGGACATTATTATGAAAGTGCTAGAAAACCTGGGTTTGATAAAAATTCTGTGGATTAGTGTGAAATTGTTTGGATAGCTGCTTCTGAGCTGTTCTACTTATTTTCTGTTTAATTGCTCAGCAGTGCCCACATGGAAGGTATTGATAAACTGAAGTCTGGGAAGGTTCGCGAGAACCTTGAAAAGCAGGTCTAGAACCCAAAGCTAGTTTGCTGACTTGTAGAAAATAGAACAAAATTGAGTAACAGTGAGGTATTACACATATATAGGCATCATTGACAACACTGAATGCAGAACAACTAGGAAAGGAGTGGTTCTTTGTATGAGAAACTGAAGGGTTAGTGTGGATCAGGACCCAAATATAATACAATAAGGCCATACTGCATTAAAAAGCAAAAACGTCATACTGGGGCGGGGGTGGGGGGGGGAAAAAATCTGTAAGACAGGAAGAAATCCTCTCCCTCGGAGAGGGATACCAATGAGGATTACCAGCAATTGGGAAGAAAATTGCACATGTGGAGAAACAGGCTTAGTTGGCCTTGAAAAGCAGTGTGAGATGGCCATTAACAGGTTTTGAGTGCGTAGAAGGAAGTGTGCAAAGATGCAGATAGGGCATTAGGAGAAGTGATGTGTAGGAGGTGCAGGAGTAGACTGATGGGGGAGGGGGTCAGAACTTCTATCTCTTCATGGAGATGGATATTTAAGGAGTAGTGGGAGAAGCTATAGGCATTTCTATAGGCCCTGAGCATAGCTGGTCTTGCCTTGGGACAGGGATATGGGCTAGTTGGTGGTGGTCTGGTGACTCAGATACTGAATTTTTTTCCTCTCATTTCTGAGCTTACGCACACGGGCTGGACAAAGAATGGATTGTGGACAGAGCTGGAGATCAGGACTTAGCCTGATTGCCCTGGCAGGGAAGTACCAACTGTAAATAAGAGCATCTGTGCTCTCCGAAGAGACCGGGCTTTGTCAACTGTCAGTGTCCCAGCTTACTTCCCATAAGCATCATCATGGCTAGACCCTCATGGTCCTGGACTCTCCTAACTTAAGAGTCCACACAAATCACAATGGAAATTAGTTTCCAGTAGTGGCCATAATGCTGACCACTGGGAGGGGAGAAAGGTGGAACCCAGAGCAAATTCAGTGGTGTGTATACTGTGGAGCACACATCTTTAATCACCTTCCCAACCCATATTCTGACTTGCTCACTTTCTCCTTGCTGCTTTTAATTACCCTCAGCATGCAGAAAGTTGCCTAGAGAGACACTGCCTGCTCTGTGTCCAGCTTTCTCCAATATGAGTACCTTTCTTTTAAAATGTACATCTTCCTTGTCTCCTGTGAATTTTACCATTTTGTTCCTGATGCAATAATTAGTTCCAACAAAGCAAAGGCCTACACAGAGGCAGCCCAAAGCTTGGCTTTCTCAAAGCATAGGCAGAAAAACCTTGCATCTTCTTCACTCTCAAGCATACTGTTTTTAGGCTTTCAGTCAGATGTAGAATCATAGAATCATTTGGTTGGAAAAGACCTTTTATCAAGCCCAACCGTAACTGTCCACTACTAAACCATGTCCCTAAGCACCTCGTCTGCCCATCTTTTAAATACCTCCAGGGATGGTGACTTGGCCACTTCCCTGGGCAGCCCATTCCAGTGCCTGACAACCCTTTCAGTGAAGAAATTTTTCCTAATAGCCAATCTAAGCCTCCCCTGGCACAACTTGAGGCTGTTTCCTCTCATCCTATTGCTTGTTACTTGGGAGAAGAGACCAACACCCACCTCGCTACAACTTCCTTTCAGGTGGCTGTGGGAAGCAGTAAGGTCTCCCCTCAGCCTCCTCTTCTCCAGGCTGAACATGTAAGGCTGACATAGGATGTATTTCTCATAAGCAGCCGAAGAGGATTATGTCTGGCATAGCATCAGACCCTGTAGTATCTGGATGCTGTCTGAACCTTAGCTTTGGCAAGAAGTTGGTTCCTGGTCACCGTTTTTGTTAGCTGCCAGGACTTTCTCATACTGAGGGGCTTTCCCCTGCAGAGGAGACCTGGCAGTCCTTCATTCAATATTCCAATTATTTCAGGGGTCTCAAGGGTTCCCAGGCCCCTGGATCACAATTTAATTTGTGAGAATTTGCCCCAAGAGACTCAGCAGAGAGCATGCTATATGACATAGCTTATTGTTGTCTACAATGTACTTGACTGCCAATTTATAAACCAGCATGTGTCATGTTATCCCATACATTAATTGGTTCAATCTGTGATTTACCAGAGTTACAGGATTTATCTTTCTCAAGCACTCAGTATCAGCTTTTAAAGTGTCATAACGCAGACTTGTTTTTAAAGCATTTAGCTTACTTCTCTGCATTGTTTTTAGAATTCAAAAGGAAAAGCTGAAACTTGCAATTTCTATACATCACTATTAACTATTCACATTTCTTCTTCATCTGCTTGACCAGAAAAAGAAGAGAGAACCAGTGGGCAGAGAGTCCACACAACTTTCTTTGAGTTCATTGTTTTTTACACCTGCTTCTGCCAGAGTCACAGAATCACACCGAATCACAGAATGGGGCCTCGGGAGATTATCTAGTCCAACCCTCCTGCTAAAGCAGGTTCACCTAGAACAGGTTGCACAGGACATCATCCAGGCGGGCTTTGAATATGTCCAAAGAAGGAGACTCCACAACCCCCCTGGGCAGCCTGTTCCAGTCCTCTGTCACCCTCAAAGTAAGGAAGTTCTTCCTCATGTTCAACTGAAACCTCTTATGTTTCAGTTTGTGCCCATTGCCCCTTGTCCTGTCGCTGGGCACCACTGCAAAGAGTCTGGAATGGTCTACTGAAATAGTCCCAGTTATCTTTGAAAAGTTACCAACGGATTTAATCTACCTCTCCTTCATAGCTTATAAAACATTGAGAACTACTGTGGTTCTGTCTTTATTCCCATTATCGCAAATATCTTTGTTCATGTCATGAAACATTCTTAAAATTACAAAGTGATGAGCTTAATAAATACTAAAGGAGAAGGAAAATACCTGCAACTCAAAAAAGCAAGAACAGAATTCTAAGCAAGTTGTTTTGATGCTCATGTTCTGTATAACCTTTGTATCTGCAGGGACCATGGAGAGTTCAAGGAATCTAACGAGTCAGGAAGTTCTTTTTTAATTACTTTCATGGGACTGGATAAAACATAAAACATATTTGGTCAAGAAAGAACTGTGCAGTACAGTCACGGCATGGAAAATTCAGGTGTTAAAAGACACATGATCAGTAACTAAGTACAAACTGAAAGCAAAACATAATGGATTAAAAAAGTAGACATTTAATGTAAAAAGATGAAGGTTCTTCTAAAACACTCCATATTTACATACACTCAATATTTACATTGTTGGCTGTAGGACCTCATTATTTGAAATGTACCATTTGTATCCACATGGTGTCAGGTACTCTTTCTCCATAGAAGGAAACTACAATCCCCTGCAGATGCTAGTTTATGTTGGAAAGTGAGTGACATGGCCTGGAAGAATTTTTTTTTCCGCGAGAAAAATAAAAGAGTGTGTATTTAGACTGTGAACAAGAGGGCAAGATCTGCGCAGGGCTGGATATTGTGTTTGCAATTGTGTTATTGACATTAATGACT